CATTGGGACTCTCCTCTACGCTCGTCTCTTCTTCCTCCTCCTCCTCCTCCTCCTCCTCCTCCTCAGCAGCATCATCATCATCAGCAGCAACATCATCACCACATCATCATCATCATCACCATCATCAGCATCATCATCATCAGCAGCATCATCATCAGCATCATCAGCATCAGCAGCATCAGCAGCAGCAGCACCACCACCACCACCACCACCACATCATCATCATCATCATCATCATCATCATCATCATCATCATCATCATCATGATCATCATCATCATCATCATCATCATCATCATCATCATCATCATCATCATCATCATCATCATCATCATCATCATCATCATCATCATCATCATCATCATCATCCCTCATCTGCCTCAGCGGCGGCCGCGGCGGCGGCTGCGAAAGCGGCCATGGTGGCGGGAAGGCGGCGCGCGCGCCAGGCGTCCCCAGCGCGCGCGCCCTCGGCCGCGACGCGCCACGGCACCAGCCAACGGCCGGCCGCCAGCGCGCATGAGGCGCCGCCCGCGCCGCCCGTCCGCGCCCCGACGAGATCCGCCTTCGTCGGCCGGCGGCGGCGGCGTCGTCGTCGTCGCTGTCGCCGTTGCCGTCGCCGTCGCCGTTGCCGTCGCCGTCGCCGTCGGGTTGGTCGTGGCCCTCGTCGGTGTCGTCGTGCGGGCAGGGGCAGGAGGGGGAAAGGAGTGAGCTGTCCAGCGGGCGAGCTGTCCACCTGTCCACTGCAATCAGTTTCCGTGGGGGGGAGAACACGAAAAATGTCCACACGAAGAAATCAACAAGCTGTTTCACCACTTGCTCCAGCGTCCCACTGCCCCACCGTCCCCTCTCTCCTCGTTCCCCCATACCACCCCCCGCCTTCTCATTCTCTGGGAGGGCAGAGCAGAAATCCTCTCAGGGGGGGGGTAAGGAAGGGGTGAGAAGGAGGCGCATGATGATGATGATGATGATGATGATGATGATGATGATGATGATGATGATGCTGATGCTGATGCTGATGCTGATGCTGATGCTGATGCTGATGCTGATGCTGCTAATAATGAGTATGATAACGATGATGATGATGATGATGATGATTATGATGATGATGATGATGATGATGATGATGATGATGATGATGATGATGATGGTGATGGTGATGGTGATAGTGATGGTGATGGTGATGATGATGGTGATGGTGATGATGATGATGATGATGATGATGATGATGATGATGATGATGATGGTGGTGGTGGTGGTGGTTGTGGTGATGATACTGGTGATGATGACGATGAAGAATATTGTGATGATGATGCTGCTGATGATGATGATGATGAAGAAGAAGATGCTGATTGTGCCGGTGATGGTGATGGTGATCATGATGATGAGGAGGAGGAGGACGAGGAAGCGGAGGAGGAGAAGGAGGAGGAGGGAGGGCGCAGGAGGGAGAGGGTACTTTGAGGAGGAGAAGAAGGAGGGACAATTGAGGAGGGATCAAGGTCGAGGGGTAATGAGAAAGATAATGAGTGGCAGAAGTGTGGGATGAGGATAAATGAGAATTACGGGGTGGAATGGGGAGGAGGAAGAGGAGGAGGAGGAGGAGGAGGAGGAGGAGCAGGAAAAGGAGGAGGAGGAGGGAGAAGCCAGATGGTAGGAGGAGGGGTGTCCACAAATAAGTCCAGCTGCTATCTGCATCCGTCCTCATTCTCCTCCTCTTTCTCCCTCCTCCCCCCTTCTCAATTCTCACTTCTCTTCCTCCTCCGTCCTTCATCAGCCCTTGCATCATTCCTACACGCTCTCCCCCTCACTCTCTTCCTCCCCCTCCTTCCTCGCTCTTCCATCCCGCGTCGTCCCCGTCCGTGCGTGCCGGGGGGTGAGCCCCTCTGTTTTTTTGGCCAAGCAGGGCTCAGCTCGAGCCTCCTGCAGCGGCCCCCCCCCTCAACGGTCCCCTGGGGGACGCCCCAGGCAGGCCCCTGCCAAGTGTAAGGTGCCTGCACACGCATCTTTCGCAGAGGCTTAATTCTCTTGCCCACGGCAAGGACCCGCCTCCGATGCGTTTTTCCGTCTCCTTACCTTTTCCTCTCCCTCCCTTCGCACTCTTCCTCTTCCCCCTCCATCCGCCCTCCTCCTCCTCCTCCTCCTGCTCCTCACCATCCCAGGTGCTCCAACCTCCTAGTTCTCCTCCCCGTTCTCCCCATGATCCTCCCCCTCGTCCTCCTCCTCCTCCTCCTCCTCCTCCTCCTCCTCCTCCTCTCCCTCCTCTTCCTCCGCCTTCTGCCCTCATTCTCCTCCTCTGTCCCACTCCTCCCCCCTCCTCCATTCTTCTCGCCTTCCCTCGCAGGGGACCGTGCTGGCCGACCCCAAGTTACCATTTGATGAGGAAGCTCAGAGGTTCCCGGCCCTGTGGCGGGCTGCCAGTGCTCCAGAGGCTACCGAGAGTCCAGAATACATTCAGCCGCTGGAGCTCTGCAGCCCGCAGCGCATCGTATCAGTTCAAACATCGTACAGATTGGCGTCGGCCACGTCGGTGGATGGCGTCCACGCAAGGCACTACGCCATCATGTCCAACGGTGCGCTCATTGCCATGATGACGCTCACGTCCTTGATGGAAGCGATCTCCCTTATCCCCTAATCGGGCTAGAACGATTATGGTCTCACTGTCGGCGAATCCGACTGGAGGATGGAGGCCCGCTGGAGGATGGAGTACAATTCCTGAGTGCAACCACTATTCGAGTGATGCTGCACTACACTTACAATCTGGGCTCTCGTGCTTTTCCTCCTCTGGTTGCGCTGGGGTCGGTGGGGCCCCGCTGGCAGAACCCCCGCGGCTGAGAGTTCATTCCTCCTCCGGAGTATCAGACACGGGTCACCCCCGTGCCCGAACCCCTCGCCAAGGATTTCTTTCTTCCGCGGAAACCGGACCCCCTGGGTTCAACGGCGTGCCCTGGGAATGTTTTCCTTCAGGGTGGTCTCCCATGTGTCCTATGTTGGAGTCGCCCGGGCGATCCAGGTACCACGTCCTTCACAAGAGGGGTGGAATCCAGATTCGCGCGCGTTTGAGGCGACCTCCGCCTGACTTTGAACTTAGGAGCGGGCAAGTGACAGGGCTGGTGTTCATGGACGGTCCGTGCGTGAGGCACCCCACCACAGGATTGATCAGGACCACGTGGGGGTTTGTAAACGCTGAAGAGAATGTTCACGAGTTAATGAAAACGCCTTCGAGGACGCGATCGCCGAGCTCGACAACGTCGCAGAGGACTCCCACAAGGACTCAACCCTCATCATGCAGCTGCTCCGCGACAATCTGACGCTCTGGACCTCGGATCAGGAGGGCGAGCCCTGAGGAAGGCATTCGCCACGCGCAGCATCCGCAGGGCCGTTGGAAGAGCGAGCTGGGTCGCCAGCAGGGCTGCCCAAGGAGCAGCAGCAGGCACCGGGCGCACAATTGGCACTGCTCCCGTAAGAGCGAGCCGGCTTGCCAGCGAGACTGCCCCAGGGAAGCACCCCCGGGCTCGCCCCATCGATCTTGGTTGTCGGAAGCAAGCAGCAACAAAAAACAAAAAACGAGTTAATTTCTGTGCACCCCTGTTCAGGGCCCGATCCCCCAGACACATCAGCTGGGAGAGTTCGGAGCCTTAGCCATGGTTGCCCAGAATATTTCTGGCCCGTCTTGCGGCCACAGCGATTGTAGCAATGCTCATTCGCTTCAGTTGCCCAAGAGGGCTGAGTAGCTTTCGCGCAAGAGAGTCCATTCAGTGACCATGACCATAGTGCAGTCCCCGACCCCGCTTCGGTTCGCAAGGTCAAAGCAGACGTAGAGACTAACCTGATTTAGCCCAGCAGCAGCGCTGGGACAAGGTGGGCAATGATGCAGCAGATTTGGCAGCGAGGGCGGCTCACTCCTTGCATCCGGCCTTTTCGCCGCAAGACGTGCAGTCCATAGACCATTGACTCGAGGATTCTAGAAAGCTGTGGGCCAGCTTGTCGCTCGCGCGTTGTCCCTCTGACCCGCCGCGAATCTCCCAGGCTGTCCCTTGACCCGTCCGTCGGGAGCCCGAGCCCGAGCCCAGGCCCGAAGCTTCAGAGGCTTGCGTTCATGACTGGGAGTGGTGCTCCAGTGATTGGCGTTGCAAGGTGCGTTCGGAGTTTCGCAGACCACGAGGATTGGTTTTCGGCGAATCCGACCGACCTCTGAGGGAGGCAGTTCTAGCGAGGAAGGCTGTTCTAGCCAGCCCCCATTCGAGCTGAAGAACACTGGTCCTCTCGGCCATCGTCTTCTGTCGTTGCCTTTTGTTCGTGTGCGTTCGTTGCAAAGTCTGCTCCACTCTTGGGCCTATTGCTCTGCTCAAGGAAGAGTACAGCCATCCCACGAGAAATAACTTTGCGAGATGGAAGTGCAGAATCTTCAAGGGTGAGCAAGCTCGTCGAAACGATATGGTGTTTGATGTGGCGCCTGTCGAGCGATCACACATCGGCACGAGAGGTCAATGCAATCAAAATGGTCGCCTTCCTTCCTCCCTCCTGCTCCCTCCTCCTTCTCCGTCCTCCTCCTTTTTCTCCTCCTCCGCGTCCTCCTCCCCCTGCCCCCTCCCCCCGTTCTCATCACCATCACCCACTCTCACAGAGTGAAAGGCGGGGGGGGGAGTGCGTGGACGAGGGGAGAGGGGACGGTGGGACACTGGGAGGCCGAAGTAAATACTGTACTATTGGATGTCTTTGTCCATTCGGCGCATTGTTGCGATGTTGGTGCTCAGTCTTTGGCTTGCTGTTTTTGTTGCCATCCTCTACAAGACGAGTCGATGTGCAAACCCTTCACAACCACTTGTGTGAAACCACTCCCTGCAATGAGTATACCCGTAATCACGCCGCAGGCACAGTTTTGCACATCCTCTACGACATGAGTATACTCGTACATCCTGGGCGACGGGAAGACATGCCATCTATCCACAACAGGGAACGCATGTGAGTACGAATAGGTGTGTAAGCCCTCCACATGTTTGGCAG